GATTTTCTAAGAGATCGTGGACTGTCAGATGACCAACGATACATGCTTCTGTTTCACGGCACAGATCATCAAAGTGCCGCCAACATTTTAAACAGGGGAATATATCTACCTGCAGGAAGACAGAAGCGGGACTTTAGCAGTGGAAAGGGGTTTTATATTACAACAAGTTTGGACCAAGCGATCAAGTGGGCGAAAAGCACGACTTCAAAGCCCGCCATATTGATTTTTCAAGTGAAGCGCAATGATCTTCTGAATGCTAAAAAACTGGATTTGACCAGTAACTTAGAGGAATGGAGGAAAACTGTTCATTACTTTAGGTCAGACGAGGGACCAGCCTATATAGGAAAGGAAATACGAAAGGCGTACGACTTGATTGAAGGACCCGTGGCCACAGCGAGCAGTTCAGGTGTAACAAGTGACCAGTTGATGTGGCAGCCAAAACATTCATCTCATCAATTATGCTTGATTTCAGATGAATTTGCCAAGAAGTTTTATCGAGCCCTGCAATTTATTCTGCTTGATCTGGTTTTGTGAATTTTGGCCCCTCCCATTGGCCTAGAGTTGTTAAAGATGTTGAAGCTGAAAAAGGAACAATTTTTCAGTACTTTTATCACTCGTGAAAATTCTTGCTCACCTTTCAATGTGTCCATTATTACAACAGCTCAGCTTAGTTCGTTTGTTGAAATCAATAACATAGGACAAACTGCGTCAGTCAAAATATGTGCCTCTTAAGGCTGCAATGTTCTCAGCGAAAGCTTGTTAGGTTAGGTTCTCTTGACACTGTTTCTAGACAAGCGTGATGGAGGTCTGGCGATTCTGAAACCTACACTGGATTTTGTTCAGCACAGCCAACTTTTGGTAGCCAGATCACTTGTCAAAACGGATGGTCCGATCCCTATTCGTCTTCTCACCCCACTTCATATCCAAGGCAGGTCTACAAAAACACTCTAGCAGTGCTTTGCGAACCAGTAGATGGAAATCAGGCAGTTGGAGACCCGTGGTTACGGCAGAATGAGACGGATGTACGACTTGCTCGAGATCAGCAGAGATCTCTACCCTTAGAGCTGAAGAATTTGCTAAATAGAAGTACAGATGGTTTGAACGATGAACAAATCGGACAGTTGATTGAATTACTCAATGAACATCAAGCTGTGTTTGCCACCTCTACAAACCCTTTCGGCCATATCAGCATAACTCAGCACAGGATTGTCACAGGGGAGTCAAAACCCATCAAGCAAGCACTGAGGCAACTTCCCCTACACTTGAAAGAAATTGCAGAGGAAGAAATAGAGAAAATGCAAAGCCAAAGGCATTATTGAGCTCTCATCAAGTCCCGTGGTCTTCTCTTGTGGTCCTTGTGCAGAAGAAAGATGGAACAATACGCTTTTACATAGATTACCGAAAGGTGAATGGGGTCACCGTTAAACACTCTTATCTACTTCCGAGGATTGATGATTGTCTGGATGCACTGTCTGGGTCGCACTGGTTTTGTACATTGGATTCGGCTAGTGGTTATTGGCAGGTAGAGATGGCAGAAAAGGATAAGGAGAAGACAGCACCTTCCACAGGTTCTGGCCTGTATCAGTTCAATGCGATGCCCTTTGGTCTTTGCAATGCTCCGGCCACTTTTGAGAGGTTGATGGAGAGGGTTCCCATGGGCTTACCTTACCAAGTATTGCTGATTTTCCTGGACGATGTCATCGTGCACACTAAGTCATTTGAAGAGGTCGTGAGGTGCCTACGACTCGTTTTTGAACGGCTACAATCTGCTAATCTAAAGCTCAGCCCAAAGAAATGTTTTCTTCCAGAGGAAGGTTACCTTTCTGGGCCACGTTGTGAGTGGAGATGGAGTGAGTACTTACCTGGGTAATTCAGAGGCTGTCAGTGCCTGACCAGTTCCATGCTCAGTTGCAGAAGTTAGAAATTTTGTTGGCTTGACATCCTATTATTGCCATTTCATCTATGAATATGCCCACATTGCTAAGCCGCTACATGAGTTGACTGAAAGTGGAAAAAATTCTTATGAATGGAGTCCTGTAATAAGGCTTTCTGCACTTTAAAGGAGAATCTTGCCTCAATTCCAGTCTTGGCATACCCAACCCTTAATGACATGTTTATCCTGGACATGAATGCAAGTAGTGTGGCAATCGTAGCTGTCCATTCACAAGTTCAAAATGGAACTGAAAAAGTAATTGCATACTTCAGCAGAGACAGAATCGAGGCAAAGCACATGCCCGAGAATGATTCGTTCTGTGGTGCAGTTACAAGGAATGGAAGTCGGGACGTAATCTAGCTGCAGGTTCCTCTCAAGAAATGGACCTCTGGATAGATGGAATAACAAGAGAAGACCAACAAAATGACCAACGATGTGACCCCATTTTATCACCTGTAATA